CGACGGCGACGGCGAAGGCGACGGCGCCAAAGACGACGCCGACGCGGACGCCGACGCTGCCGCCGACGACGACGACGACGACGACGAGCAGGACGAAGACGAGGCTCGAAAGCGAGGGGAGCGCTGCCCAGCCCAGACGCCAGAGAGCCGGCGACCCTTCGGGCTCCCGACCAGGCCCGTGCCAAAATGCACCGTGCTGGCGGGAGCGCCCTCCCGGCAGGGCCGCGCCACTGCAAGAGGAGCGCGCCGGTGCTCCAGGTTTGGAGTCCCGAAACGGTGTGGTGGCAGACCGTGCGGTGACCTCGAAATCCCCCAAGACCTCACCGCACGGTCCGTCAACGCACGGTTTTGGGACCTCGGATGCCCCAGTCGCCCGAGACGTCCTCGGAGAGGGGCTCGAGCCCCAAAACCGTGCGGTGGCCCCGAAGCCCCACCGACTCGCCACACGGTGTGGTCACCGCCCCGTTTTGGGGGCCCCCGGCAAGGGGCGCAGCCGTGCCGGAAGCGCGCCGGTGCCGAGAGCGCACCTGTGCCAAGACGCACAGGTGCCAAGGCGCACAGGTGCCCGCGCGGGCTCGGCCGCAGCGCCCTGCTGGGCCCTCGGCGGCGGCCGCGAGCGCACGTCGCCGCAGGTCGCGCGTGTGCGCGAGCGGGCGGAGGCGAAGCGCCGCCCCGCACCGGCGAGGCCGCCGCCTACGCGACGCCCTCCAGCCTCGACTCCTCCACGCGGTGGGCCTTCGCCACTGGCTCCTTTGCGGTGGCGTCCCGCTTCGCCTTCTCCATGTATGCGATGATCCTCTCGACCTCCTCGTCGGCGGAGTAGCCCGAGTCCCAGGTGCTGAAGCCAGGCCAGTCCTGCTCGGCCAGGGGGTAGTTCAGCGGGGGAGGGGGTGCAGCCTTGACCGATTGCGGCGTCGGGATGTCCCGTATCTGGAAGTATGTAGGATTCACGAACACAGCGTCCTGGTAGTGGAAACGCGGCTCGACGTGATTTATCCAATAGGCATCCAGACCTCCGATGTATTTGAAGCTGGCGTTGTGCAGGATCTCAAAAACGAGCTCTTCAGTGGCATCCCTGGACCTAGCTTGTACAAAAGACTGATAGCCACGGCCACTGCGACGGCCGTCGAACTTAACCAGGATGACGCCGATCTCAATGTTCTTCCCCGAGTTAAGCAAGGTCTCGTTCAGGACTTCCGCCTCGTACCCACCAGTGCTCAGGCTCCAGAAGTCGATGCTTCTCCGACCGCCCATCTCTTCGAGAAATCTCGGCAAGGCGTAGGCGTGGATCTTGTGCCCGCTCAACATGTCGATCGTGCCGTCCTGGTCGAATCCGATCTTCGTAGCGTTCTCGTGCGGAGACATGGCCCCAAGAAATAACCACGCCTTCCGGAACTTGCCCCACAAGGTCACAAACTCGTACACGCGGGGCTCTAAGATCAGGCCACGCCAGCCTGTGAGCTCAAGCAAGAGGGTGTTGCTGTTTTTCTCACCATCGCCCCCGTTGGAATCAAGGTAGAAGCCGTTGGTGATGTTCTCCAGCACCTTCCTTCCTCCCGCTCCTCCTCCGCTTTTTCCGTAGTCCCACCTTCCTCCTCCTTCCTCATGTCCGGTTCGTCTCATTACCCTGGTCGTCCTGCTCGTCCTGGGCCTCCTCCTTCTCTTCAACCCTCCACACTCTTCACTCCTCCCACTACTCCTCCTTTTCCTGACCCTCCTCCTTTTCGTCCTCGACTTCCCCTCCTTCGACAGAGCACCCGGCACCTGCGTGATGAGCTTCACGTCCTGCGAGGCACTGCTGAAACTCTGCACGTTGTCGCCCGTCTCCAGGCTGTACTCGATCTCCTTGGGAAGGCGGGAGCGTGGTCCGAGGGAGCGCGTGCGAGCAACCGAGATACCTTGGGAGCGCTTGGGGGTCGCACTACGACGGCGGCGTCGGCGGCGGCGACGGCGGCGGCGGCAGGGCTGGCGACGGCGACGGCGACGGCGACGGCGACGGCGACGGCAACGGCGACAGCGACGGCGGCAGCGACGGCGGCGGCGGTGGCGACGGCGACGACGACGACGACGACGTAGATACAGAGATCTCGGGAAGCTTCCGACAGTCCCCAGAAGTATCCCTGGGACTCCCCCACTCCTCGAGGTGCCTCCATGCGCGCCCATGTGTTCCTCGCTATTCCTCCGCACTCCTCCGGTCTCCTAGGCCAGCATGCCCCCCTCGACAATCTTTCCCGCTCCTCCCGGCTTCCCCCCTTGTCCATGGCACTCTCCGGCCCTCCCCCCGACGCCTCCAGACTCCATCGCGCTCCCCAGCGCTCCTCTCCACCCCTCTGGGCTCCTGCCCGCTCCCTGAGGGAGCCCTCCCCGCTCCTCCCGCCTCCTCCCCACTCCTTCGCACTCCTCGGCCCTCCCCCGCACTCGTCAACGACTCCTCCGCGCTCCATCGCCCTCCCTGGCGCTCCTCCCCACCCCCTCTGCACTCCTCCGCACTCCGCCCGCGGGCTGTAGGAAGCGCAGGGGCTTCCCACCTCCTGCTCCCACTCCTCTCACACTGCCCCCCCCCACGCCACCCCGCGCCCACGACGTCCCATAGACTTAGTCCCGCCACTTCCTCCACAATGTCCCCCCCCCCCCGCTCCCACAGAAGCCCCCCGCCCCACTGCCACCAGGGCGGGGCGGGGGGCGCGGGGGCGCCGGGTACGTCACCTCCCTGGGAAGTGAGCTGGGCCGCGGGCGCGCCAGGTGCGAAGGTTCCCGTGAAGGGCGGAGAGGGGGGGCCCGGGTCGTCGGCGGCACCCGCTGCGCCCGGCACAAAAACCCTGGAAAACCAGGAAAGGTTGGGGAGGGTTTCGTGCCACCGCGCACCGCCTACATATACATGTATAGAGGTATACGTGCATGCATGTATGTATGAATACGTGTCTGTACGCATGTATGCATGCATGCATGTATGCAGGTCTGTGTGCAGGTATGGATGTATGCATGCATGCGTGCATGCGCGCATGCATCTGTGTGTACACATATCCACACACATGTGTGTGTGTGTTAGCCAACGCGGTGCCAAAAGACTGCGTGTAGAAGCAATATGTGTTGTATAACCTGCGCCGAGAAAAATTCGGAGGTGCAATCTACGTTCGAATGATTTCGACACGCGCGCGAGAGGCCCGTCAGGCAGGATGTGCCGAAAATGTTGGCAAACATGTAGTCTTCTGGAGAACTCGTAAAAGCGCGCGCCCACACACTGCATGAACAAAAAAACGCGTCGCGAAAGCGCATGTTGCTCACATGATTGCGGGGCACCCGATCCTGAAATCCTCACGAAGTCTAAGGTTTCACAGCAGGCGCGCGACGACGCACTTGGTCGCATTGTTCGAATGGGATTCTTGCAAAGGGGTGATTATATATACATATATATATACATATACTAGAACCACGCGCGCGCTTCGCGCGCGCTTAGGTTCTAGCTAGGAGGCGAGCTTGAGTCAACGAAAGTCGCAGGGAAGGGGGCAGGGGGAAGAAGGCCAGAGAGCGCTGAAGGATACAAATACTGGAACCCTCTTGTGATTTTGTGGGGGGCCTCGTCCGGCCGCTCGCTGGGAGTTTGACGTAGCTTCTCGGGAGCCTCTGAACCTGTCGGGGGCCTCCTGGAAGCAGGTTCGAAGCATTTTGGGGGCCGATTTGGGGCTTCTCGGGGCCTCCTTTGGGCCTCTTGGGGGTCTCCTGGGGCCTCTTGAGGGGCCTCCTTGGGGCCTCCTGGCGGCCTCTTGGGGCGGAAGGCTCGAGCTTGCGGTTCGTGGTCCCCCTCTGGGCCCCCTCTTGGGCCCGTCTTGGGGCCCTCTTGGGCCATCTTGGGCGCCTCTTGGGCCGTCTTGGGGCCCTCTTGGGCTGTCCTGGGGCCCTCTTGGAAGCTTCTTGGGCCGTCTTGGGGCGGTCTTGGGCGCCTCTTGGGCCGTCTTGGACGCGGTGAAAGCCCAAGAGGCGAACATGCGAAACATATACGTTGTCCCATAGGAATGGCACGACTTTTGCTTCTTGGGCCTCTTTTTTTTTTTTTTTGTTCGTGCGCCCTGGCACTCATAAACCAGCGCGAGAAACTCGCAGCCTCAACAACAACGCTTTGTTATGTCGACTCTTGGACAGTGCAGCCGCCACGTACACCCTGCCGCATTCGCAGGAGGTGAAACTCGGAGCGCTCGCGGCCCGACGCCATGCCTGCCGCATCGGGCCTGCGAATGGCTGTCTCGCGGGCGTGCACTGCAAAGCACGAAGGCTACTGCTGGAATGGTCCCGCAACTCGTAGGGTCAAGAGTGCAGCACAAAAAGATACATACCCAGAAGTGTCGATGCAGCAGCGTTTCGTTTCCCGTTTGGGGCCGATTTGGGGCTTCTCGGGGCCTCCTTTGGGCCTCTTGGGGGTCTCCTGGGGCCTCTTGAGGGGCCTCCTTGGGGCCTCCTGGCGGCCTCTTGGGGCGGAAGGCTCGAGCTTGCGGTTCGTGGTCCCCCTCTGGGCCCCCTCTTGGGCCCGTCTTGGGGCCCTCTTGGGCCATCTTGGGCGCCTCTTGGGCCGTCTTGGGGCCCTCTTGGGCTGTCCTGGGGCCCTCTTGGAAGCTTCTTGGGCCGCCTTGGGGCGGTCTTGGAGGCCTCTTGGGCCGTCTTGGACGCGGTGAAAGCCCAAGATGCGAACATGCGAAAAATATACGTTATCCCATAGGAATGGCACGATTTTTGTTTCTTGGACCTCTCTTGGGGTGCCTCTCGGAACGTCTTGGGCTGATTTCGGAAGCCTTTTAGCGCCTCTGGGCGGCGTTTTGGCGCCTCCTGGGATATGTTGGGCCGGAAGCTCGGAATTCGAGAGTGGCTTTCTCCTTCTGGGACCCCTGTCGAAATCGTCTTGGGGTTCTCTTGGGCCGTCTTGGGGCCGTCCTGAGCCACTCGTGCGCAGCCTTGGAGCGCTCCCGGAGGCCTCCTAGGCCGTCTTGGAGGCCTCTTGGGCCGTCTTGGACGCGGTGAAAGCCCAAGATGCGAACATGCGAAAAATATACGTTTCCCATAGGAATGGCACGATTTTTGTTTCTTGGACCTCTCTTGGGGTGCCTCTCGGAACGTCTTGGGGTGCTTTTGGGAGCCTTTTGGCGCCTCTTGGCGGCATTTTGGCGCCTCCTGGAGCCTCTTGGGCCGGAAGCTCGGAATTCGAGGTTGGCTTTCTCCGTCTGGGACCCCTCTCGAACTCGTCTTGGGGCTCTCTTCGGCCGTCTTGGGGCCGTCCTGGGCCACTCGTGCGCAGCCTTGGAGCGCTCCTGGAGGCCTCGTAGACCGTCTTGGGCGCCTTTTGGGCCGTCTTGGACGCGGTGAAAGCCCAAGAGGCGAACATGCGAAACATATACGCTTTCCCATAGGAATGGCACGATTTTTGCTTCTTGGGCTTGGGCTGCCTCTCGAAGCGTCTTGGAGGCTTCTGGGACCTTCTTGGTGTCATGACAGGCGTCTTGGAAGGCATCTGGAGCCATCGGAGCGCGTTCCGAAGCCGCCTGCGAACGATCTTGGACGGCGTCCGGCGGTCCGACGAGCCTCCGGGCCCCCCGGGGCCCACATTTGTGGTCGAGGTCCCGGCCCCGGCCCCCGGACCCGGTGCGCCGTTATATGTATAAATGTATTACATATATATATATATATATATATATATATATATATATAAAAAAAAGGGTGTGCGCGCATAGAATTATCTGATAAGGGTGACGGCGCTGGCTGGCGCACCGCTGCGGCCGCGCGGGCGCGCGAGGCTCGCGCGAGAGAACGGCCCGCTGGCCCGGCGCGGCCGCCGCGTGCCGCAGTGGCGCGGACTGCTGGGCACCTCCCAGTGCGCCTCGCAGACCGCGCTGACGCGCGGGCACTCCTGGGGCGCGTCGGTGCCTCGGGCGGACGTGCTATGATGGCGACGTCGACAACGGCAGACACGATGGTGCTTGTAGCGATGCTCGTGGCGCCGATCGCTGCGAAGCCGACGCCGACCAATGACGCCGCAGATGCTGATCCCTCCGATGGCGATGACGGTGTCCACGTGTCGGTGATGCAGTTCGTGGAAGGATTCCGACATGCGCGCGCGGATGATGGGCGCGTGTGGCCCGCATGATATTATTTGACACGGGCCGCGCCCCCACCCAGCACCCGTGCAAGGGAATCCGAATGATTTCGGCATGCGCGCGCGAGGGGCCCGTCTGGCAGCATGTGTCGAACATGTTGAAAGCATGTGGCTTTCCGAAAGAATCGTGAAAACGCGCGCGCCAACGATGTTTGAAAGAATGCTGCGAAACCATACGTTGTGTCTACGATTTTCGGGACAAGCGATTTTGAAATCCTCTCGAAATCAACAGCGTGAACGGATTCCGGCATGCGCGCGCGACGGCGCGCGCGTGTGCACTTTGTCACAGCTTCCGCACGGAACGCACAATTGTTTTGGGGGAAAAACAGGTGCGCGAGCATAAGATAAACGATGGGACATCATCGTGTGTGAATTGCTCATCCCTGGGGGGGACGGATAACTCCGGGGGTGGTGGTAGATCCTACTTCTTTTTAAAAGGAGACTCTATGTGGTGTAATCTACGTGATGCAGTTCACCCTGCCGGCCTTGAAGTTGCCCTCTTCACTGGTCGCGCAGTCGCCCCACCCCCACGCACCCACAAATTGGAGTATAAAACCCACGCGGCGGCGGCGCTGGTCGGCGCATTGCTGCGGCCGCGCCAGCGCACGCAGGCTCGCGCTCAGAACGGCCACCTAATATGGCGCGACCGACGCGGCCGCAGTGGCCCTGATCACTGGGCACTTCCCAACGCGTTTTGCAAGCCGCG